CTCCTCCTCCAGCCTTTCTCCTTCCTTCAGGAGCCAAACGCTGCACTCATCTGTTTCCCGTGTATGAATTTCCCGCGGTGCGTTGGTCTGGTGACATGTTCAAGCGCTGCTTTATTTAGCGTCGGATTCTGCAAATAAAGGCAAAAAAAGTCTCAAGGTTTATGGAAAAATGGATAAAAATTAGATTGTAAGGTATTGATCTGGAGTGTGTGTGTGTGTGAGACACCAGAAAAACCTCCACAGACGGAGGGAGAGGGAGAGGGAGAGGGAGAGGAAGAGGGAGACGGAAAGGGAGAGGGAGGGGAAGAGGGAGGGGGAGGGGGGGGGGGGGGGGGGGGGGGGGGGAGGGAGAGGGGAGATGGAGTGTGTTGGAGAGAAGGTTGTGAGATGATCAGCTCCTCACCCGCCGTCTGAGGGCTGTTAAGGCGTTAGCATCGAGCCTCAGAGCCAATTACCCCACCCCACAAGTGCTCTTCACTCTTCACTCCCTCCGACTAACGCACACACACTGTTGGGTGACACAGAAGGAGACGAGTCAGCTTCAGCGTACACCCCCCGGCCCCCGCCCCTCTCAGTAACCACCGCCCTCCGACACCACAGCCTTCAACTTGGAGGGTCTCAGACCGCCCGCCCCCGGAGCTCATACCTCCAGCACCCCTGCTAGCCTTCTCCTCCTCCTAACTCCTCACCCCTCCATAGTCCACCCCCCCACCCCCTCGCAGCTCTGTGGGTTATTATAGTGAAATATGAAGCGGTGTGGATTCTAGGCTTCATGAAATTTCCATGAGCATTGATCTGATCTGATGTGGGTGATTGCGAGGTGAATCCCTCCAGTCCAGGGCTGTTGCTCATCTATTCATTTATTTATGGCAGTTATGTTTTACTGGCTTTGATTTGCTCTTCTGGAGAGCGACAGCTAAGGATTATAAATATACCTGAATCCTGGAGCTCCAGCCTCCTCTCTCAAGGCACGGGACTTTTTTTATTTTCTTATACTGCACTAACTCCTGTTGTGAAATATGTGATATTGAGCATGGTTATAAAAGCATGAAATGTCAGGATAATCCCAAAAGAGACACAGGCAGGTAGTCGGTGGCGTGCGTTGTCCTCCACGCGCTCATCCTCTGGTTTATGGTCCTTGAAAATGAGCAGAGACGATATCACTTCCTCTCTCACAAACCAAAATGCTCTCTTTATTTGTAACGGGGGTATCTGTGTGTCTCAGGATGTTGATGCTATTGTTCACTGGAGGCTCATTTGGCACTTTGTGGAGGACTGATAAAAAATTAATCATAAAAACTGAAGCCTCTGAGACGTTGGTGGAACGATGCCCTAATCCAGGGCAAATCCTCGTTACGCTCTCGGAGATCAGACAAAATGGAAGCGGCGACAAATATTTGTCGTCAGAAGTAAAAGTCAGGCATCATTTGTTGTCTGCTGTTGGACGGATGTTCTAACAGATGTGATCTGTCGTACGGGTCGGTCTTCAGAAGTTCAGTCAGAGAGCGCTCCTCTGTTCCTCCTCTGTTCCTCCTCTGTTCCTCCTCTGTTCCTCCTCTGTTCCTCCTCTGTTCCTCCTCTGTTCCTCCTCTGTTCCTCCTCTGTTCCTCCTCTGTTCCTCCTCTGTTCCTCCTCTGTTCCTCCTCTGTTCCTCCTCTGTTCCTCCTGTGTTCCTCCTCGTTTCCTCCTGTGTTCCTCCTGTGTTCCTCCTCTGTTCCTCCTCTGTTCCTCCTGTGTTCCTCCTCGTTTCCTCCTGTGTTCCTCCTGTGTTCCTCCTCTGTTCCTCCTCTGTTCCTCCTGGCTCTTTTCTGAGGGGGGAGCGGGGCATCAGCCCTCAGGAAACGTCCAAGCTGTGACCCACGGGGGAAACAGACGGACATCACAGACACAGTCAGTCAGTCGTCCTGGGAAGTCACTCGGAATCGACGACAGATTTATTTCTTTTCCCCAGTAGCAACTTACATTTACAGGATGTGTTTGTCAACACTCACCACCAGGTGGTGCACAACCAGGGGGCAAAGGTCATTCTGCCCTCAACCCTAGAGCTTTTTTTAGGAGCATTTCTGCCACAAACTGCCACAAATTTTTCCAACTGTTTAAGACAAAAATACGTGTCAAAAAATGTAACGATAAAGAGAGAAAACGCAGACAGGGGGCAGCGTCGCTGCAGAGGAACAGAACAACATACACCACTAGTTACCCATCAACGTGACGGGTGTGTATTTGTACAACAGCGTTGTCTGGTTGGTAAACTGTGAAGAGGCAGGAGGGTAAAAGACGGGGCAACAGAGAGTACATCAGAAATTAATGATGAGACGCAGCGTTTACGTTTATCCAACAACCTCAGCGCTGAGTGTTTGACTAGAAGACTCAGATCTTCATCGTTTTTATTCCAACGTTTAAATATTCATGGTAAATCTTCTCATATTCAATTACTGAGGCACAACCAGCAGAGTGTGTGTGTGTGTGTGTGTGTGTGTTCAGCCTCCTCCCCGGAGCGTCCAAGCCTTTGTTATATTGGAACCAGCCTCTGTAATTGCCTATATTAGTCGATGATCAACGCAGGACCACAGGACACACACACACACACACACACACACACACACACACACACACACACACGGCGGCCTGATTCCTGACAGTCTTTTTATTAAGCTCAAAGCAGCGACAGAGAGAGATTCATTACATCACAGACAAACAAAGACGTAACAGAGAAACAGTCACCACTGCAGGTACAACCACGCGTCAGTCAGTCGCCGCCGCCGCCGCCACCGCTCCGTTCTCCTGTTCTACCTCACAGTGTCTCCAGAACAACAGGGGAGTTTCATTAATAAAAAACAAAACGAGAATTAAGACTTTATCTCTCTCTCTCTGTGTCTCTGTGTCTCTCTCTCAGCACTAAACGAGCCAACCATAGACTACGGTTTCCAGAGGTTACAGAAGGTCATCCCCAGACACCCAGGAGACCAGGAGAGATTACCCAAGGTACAGTGCTCCTCCTCGTCTCGTGTGTCGCTGGTTGCCAGACGCACTTGTTATTTTACAGGAACTGGTGTCGCTGGTACACACACACGTATCACACTCTTCTCCGCTTTCACCGCATATATGGATATACGTGGCACAAGGACGGCTCGACCTCCGACACACAGGGACGATTGTGTGTCACGGACGCCGGGCCGTACGCCACGCCGCGCTGCGCGGCAGCACGCACGCCTGATCATATGTTCATCGTCAAGTTCCCGCTCCAACAAACGCCATATTTGTGCAGCGAACACACAAACAAGTCTATTCATCCTTCCACTCTGTATAAGGTCATCTGGACCGGCCAGGAGCGAGAGAGGAAGGGGATGGATGAAGGGAGGGTGAGAGAGAGAGAGAGAGAGAGAGAGAGGCAGAAGCAGGTTAGGTGATCCATCATAGCTGTCCAGTCTTACCTCCTGCTGGGTCAGTGGATCGAAGTCAACCCCGGGTGGACTTTATTACTTTCAGCGCACACACACTCACACACACACACACATGCGTCTGTTTCTGTGCCTGAACACACACACACACAGAGAGCAGTCATCATCAGGCAGAGATGGAGAGGCCAGGTAGATGCAGAAGGATGATAGAGAAATCACTGCTCCTCTCTGTGTGTCATGTCTGCAGGAGACAGACTTGTCCTGGGGAGTTCTGCTCTTTAGCCTATCAACCCCCTGTATCTCTCTAAACATCGTCCTAGCCATTCATCTCCTCCTCCTCCTCCTCCTCCTCCTCCCCCAGTGTTGTCCATGTCTCCGTGCCAGGACCAGTTGTTCATTTTACCTTTTATTGATTTGAGCTCTCGTTGAGAGACCAGTTTGTCGACTGCACTCCTGTCAAACATGGTGGGCAGCAGAGGGGCAGCAGAGGGGCAGCAGACGGGCACAGACCCCAACACGTCATGGGACTCTATGTTCCAGTCATCGTGTCACTGACTGAGTGGACGACTCACTCTGACAAAGTGATTGAACTCTTCATCAGCGGCTGCTCTACCTCTAACTCTAACTCTAACTCTGACTCTAACTCTAACTCTGACTCTAACTCTAACTCTGACTCTAACTCTAACTCTGACTCTAACTCTAACTCTGACTCTGACTCTAACTCTAACTCTAACTCTACTTCTACCTCTAACTCTAACTCTACCTCTACCTCTAACTCTAACTCTACCTCTACCTCTACCTCTAACCCTAACCTCTACCTCTACCTCTACCTCTACCTCTAACTCTACCTCTGACTCTAACGCTGACTCTACCTCTAACTCTAACTCTACCTCTACCTCTACCTCTACCTCTACCTCTCCCTCTCCCTCTCCCTCTAACTCTACCTCTGACTCTAACGCTGACTCTACCTCTAACTCTAACTCTACCTCTACCTCTACCTCTACCTCTAACTCTAACCTCTAACTCTAACTCCACACGGAGCTGCAGCTGACGGACCCAGACCCAGAGGTGGAGGCTGGTTAGCTGAGGCTGTGGTGGAGCTGGGATGTGGGGCCAGATAATGAGTGACCGCCCTGCCAGACAGGGCCAGGCCCTGCTCTGGATCAGGTTCCCCTTCCTGTTGGCGTCTCTGCGGACCTGACTTTACGGGAAGAGACCCTGGACCCAGGAAATGGTCTCCCCTTACAGCCACAGACGAGGAAGGCAGTTTGGAGCTAACCACATTTATCTGTTTATCAGGATGACTCTGGAGCGCTGCCTAATCACGTTTAGCCACCGGACAGATCCCTTCACTAACGAGAAGCTCATAGGTACAGACGAGGCACAGGAACAGGAGCCAGCCATTAATACAGAGAGTCAAAGAGCGGAGAGTCACATGTCCACCCCCCCACAACAGCCCCACTCTCCAGCTGGAGATCTGTTTGGGTCATAATGCTCAATACTTTCCTCATTTCACTCTCCTCCTCCTCCTCCTCCTCCTCCTCCCTGCCTTCATCCATCCATCTATCTACTGATCCCTGGGAGGCTCCAGGCTTTAGAAAAAGCAAAGAGAGGGAAGCGAGGAGCGGTGCATACATACTAAAGAACTACTTACCTACCCAGGGCCTCCACGTCTCTCAATCACCTCGAGCAGGCCTCCTCTCTGGGCTCACCTCTCTGCCTCGCCCCACCCTCCCACCCTCCCACCCTCCTCTCTGCCTCCCCCCAGATAGTGCCAGTAATGGGAGGTTAACACAGAGGCAGTGCTCCCATTATTGAGTGAATTTAGCGCCTCGGACAGCGCTCTACAATCTTTATTGCTTCGCTGACCCTCTCGTCATGTCCTAGCCGCGCTCGACAGGCACCACGTGTGTGTGTGTGTGTGTGTGCGCGGTGTGTGTGTGTGTGTGTGTGTGAGGCCGTGCCTGTGGCTGTGCCTGTGAGTGTGTTATATGAGGTCTGATTGAAAGGCGGCGTGTCGTGGAACAGAGAGCACACATGCTCCGGGGCTTGTTCGCAGCGAGGGAGACACTCAGGAGGGTATAGAGCACAGCGTGTGTGCGCACGAGTGAGAGAAAAGGAGGGAGAGACAAAAATCAAGGGGAGGTTGGAGGAAATGGGGCTGCAATTTTCTGCTTGTCGCACCTCCAGCGTAGAGCCCGGCCCCGGCACATTAACTTTTAAAAAGGGTTTTGAAGGGCCACCGGGGTCTGCATCACACCGGCACGGATGACAAGTGCCTGGAATCACACACTCCACGAGGGGGGAGAGGAGAGAAGGAGAGGGGGGAGAGGAGGGAAAAAAACCCCTCCATGTTAGGATAAATGTTTGATGAGGGAAAGTCAACCGAGCAGGTTCTTCAGCCACGTTCCACATGAATCACACAAATCCGACGCAGGACGTTTCATCTGGTTCGTTAGCAGGGTTAATACGGGGCAGGAGACGGGGGTGTCCCCGCTGACAGGGGCAGTTGTCGGGGCGTCGACCTGATGATGTGTTGTGTTAAATCAGACGGATGCCTCATCACGCCAGGTAGATTCATGATCCGGCCGTGACAGGAGGGAGGAGAAGACGTAGACGACGGTCGACTGATAAGAAGGAAACAGGCTCATGTTTTATTCACAGATCAGGGAGTCTCCCCTCTGCCCCCCCCACACTCCCCCCAAACTGCCCTGTGAGTAACAGAGTGCCAGGACGGACCCATTTCTCTTCCCTTCCTTCTGTAGGAACGTCGTTCTTCTCTCTCGCTCACTCGGTTCCGCATTCACAGCATAATGTAGGAAAGAAATGTAATAAAAGTGACGGAACTCTTTGAGCTGGAACTCCAGATTAATCTCCTCCGTCTCTCCTGCCTGATCGTAGGAGGTGATCTTAAAGAGAGCAGCAGACCTGGTCGAGGCCTTGTACGGGATGCCTCACAATAACCAGGTAAACACGCACACACACACACACACACACACACACATTATATTGTAGGTATTTCCACCCTGGGTTATTGACGTTCTAGTCTGTGAACTGCAGAGAAATACTGACGATGAAACGTTCCTCGTTAAAGATAAAACCCTGACATCATTGGACGATCCATTCAAATCCACGAATCACAAAGTTTGGATAAAAAAAAAACCCCGTCTTCTGACCACTGCTGACCACAGCTGTTTTTCCCCGTTGTCGTCAGGAGATGATCCTGAAACGAGCAGCCGACATCGCAGAAGCTCTGTACACAACAGTACCACGAGGACACAACCAGCTGGCCAGCCTTGGCAGCGGATCTGTCCACGCTGGCATGATGGCCGTGAACTCATTCACCGGGTCAGAGGTCGCACAAACAGCCAATCAGGGTAAGAGTCAACATTACGTAACCAGTGATTCTTCAGGAGAAGAGTGCGTTTATATAAAAGTTGTGTTTCTTTTTTTTTTCTTTTGGGCAATTAACAAAAGGCAAAATAAGACGTTCAAAAAAGGGGACGGGGTGGGGGGGCAGGTGGGGGGGGCGCTGGCAACAAAAACAGGAAAAGGTTGAGAGGAGGAGAGAGTGAAAAATAGAGAACGAGAGATTCATGGACGGAGGAGGATGGAGAAATATGACTGAGCCCTAAGGGTGTGTATATTAGACTGGGGTCGGCCCCCGTCTGACAGAGAGAGATGGGGGGGCAGTCAGCGGTGATTCATCACATGTATCAGGGGAAGCCGAGCAGAGTGGACGGAGCAGCCGCTGGATGTGTCTCAATTCTCACAATAAGCCTCTCCGCTGCTTCCTCCGCACTCCATCTTCATCAGGAAACTTCCAGAGAAGAGAAGAAAAGAACAGATCTCAGCAGCCGCTCCTCCGCCTCCAACTCTGTCCAACCAACGGGGGACGAGGACGGAGTGGGTGACAACTAATTACAGGAGACCGGGCTTCCACAGGCAGGAGTCGAAACGTCGGATTTTTTTGATTTTGTTTTTCGTCCAGTGTCAGCATGTTTGACCTGAGCTGTATATTTATAGCCCTGGATTTTCCTCGTCCTCCTAACGTTCACTGTCCCCGTGCGTGAAGCATCAGCGAGGCCGGCTTTATGTTTTTACAGATTCCAGGACTTGGAGTCTTAATTGTTTGATCGATAGATTTAATTTTGAAGAAAAGCCTCTGAGGTCAAAGGTGTTTCAGAGGAGCCGTTCTGATCCTGCTCGTCTTCTGACTTCATCTTCCTCACTCTGCCATATGCCGTCTGACTTTGGTGGAACATTTCTCTTCTCTGTGTCCATTACTGTGTAAGAAAAAGAGAATTTGGCAGCGCTGCATGTGGGCTAGCTCTCTGTTGTTGTGTCTGCCATCTGCTCTGCCCCTGACACCTCTCTCTCTCTCTCTCTCTCTCTCTCTCTCTCCCCATCCGTAGGTTTCAGTCGGAGCACCAGCAGCGTGTCCCCCCACGGTTATGTCCCCAGCTCCACCCCTCAGCAGGGTAGCTACAGCTCTGTCTCCACTAGCATGAACGGCTACGCTAACTCCGGCATGGCGACTCTGGGCACCTCGCCCAACTTCCTCAACGGATCTGCTGGCAACTCGCCCTATGCTAGTGAGTAAATTCAATGCACCCCAGGTCCAGACACAGGGTGGCGCCGTGTAAAAAGGAGAGGGAGGTCAAAAGAACGAGTCGCTGCGTTTTGTACAAAGACAGGAATTAAGAAAAGGAGAAAACCCTCCACTTCAGCTGCCTCATCTGTTTCTTTAAGAACACGACATACGCAAATCCTGACTTTATTGGCCAGAGTAGCAGACCACCTAACACCCCCCCCACACCCCTCCCCCTCCCACACACACACACCGTTAGCCTCTACATTAAAGACCCTTGATTAAATCAATAAACTAATTGCTAGAGAAGCAATTCCATTTCAGCTCTTTGATTCCTCGGTGTTAACAAGTATTTTAAAAGGTTCATCGGCCCCACACAGCCTCCCTCGATCAATGGCCCACGCCCTGCCTTTGTAGGTCCAATTTTCATTAATTGATTAGTTAGGCCTCTTCATAAATGGATTATGACTTTATTGCGAGGATTTGTCAGGAAGAGCCGTAAAAGCTAAGTGTTGGATGATAACAACAATAAAAGTGGGAGTGGACACCAGGGGGCAGGTGACGTACGGCTCGGCTGGTGGTAGAGTTTGGCGGGGG